GTGCAGCTTGACCAATGACTTTCCCGTTTGGAATTTAGCGTCGTCACCTAGGTCATTAGCAATAGTCAGATGAATGGTCTCAAAATGTTGGCGCAATACTGGAACGTAATGGGGAATATCGAAGCGTGCTTCCACGATCTGGTTGACCTCTCCTCTAATAGGTACAGCACGCAGAAACTGCGCCGCGGTATCGCCAATCAAGCTATAGTCCGCAACGTCGCTGTACAGGAACAAGCTTTGATTTCCCAGTAAAGTGTTAACGGGGCGTTCCGAAAGAAAAGTCGTCAGTTTAGGGGGAGGTGCTTTAGTGAAAAATGATAGGTACTTAATACGACTTGTTTTCGATTCAAATGGAAACGGGCCGCGTGCATTAGAATGAATTTCCTCTGGGACGTCCGGTTTGTATTCACTTTGCTCAAATCCTAATATTTTTTGCAATGTAACGGATCCTGGGGGGAAGGAAACTGAAACACGATCGTTACCGATTGAAAGTTTAACGCGATGATTAGTAGCCGTCAGGAACTGCAAACTGAAGGCCTTGTTGTCATGTAAAGCACTCTTGTCTTGATGAACCACATCGTCCACCATGTACGGCCCAATTACCGGTACAAGATTATTGATAGTTTCCAATAATAAATCGGCATTTTTATAGTTTCCTGGCGGAATGACCAAAATCTCTTGGTGAACTACATAGTCCGCGCTGGTGATAAAGTCGTCCTCTTTTTTCACACGAAATTCTTTAACTATATCCAAATGTATTTTCTGTTCAGTTGGAAGAGTGTAGAATGAATTTAGATACTGCAGTTCCACCAGCGCCATTTCCCACTTTCCCTTGAGGGTAATGGGGTGTTTTAGTTTTGTGGTCCAGTTTGATGGAGTGTTTGTCGTGTCAGTAGCGACATCGCTTGGTAGCGTTATGTAGAATGGGGCTCCCCTCAAACATGATGTTAACACCCAGGAATCGTGTTCGGGTCCGTATCCTAACCAGCGCACCAGAGCTTTCTTTCCTCGTCGTTTAATAACAAAATCAATCGCGTATTTTTGTCTTTTGGGTTTGAAACAAGGGACAGTTCGTGTTCGTAAAATGTCCCTTTAATAGATTCGCCTTGATAATCTCGCACCCGGTACACAGGAACTTTATGCGGAATAACTTGATGAACGTAGAACACTTCTTCCTTAAACCGGTAAGTGTAACCCTTTTCTACTTTTGTCTTGTGCACCGCAATGCGTACAGCGTCACCAACCTTGAAACGAGGTTGTCTTAACTTTTGATTTTTGTACAAAGCATTGTACACGCGCAAAGAGTTGTCCTGGCTTACATCTACTGGCCGCAGACCGTGAGCACGATGTGCAGAATGATTGTACGAGTACACAAGATCTTGCAACTTGTCAATATAACGTGTAGATAAACGTGATCGGAACAGTCGAAACATTCGTGTCTTGATAGTACGGATCACCCGCTCCGCCATTGCACATTTTACATCTTCGTTTTCCGAAGTAAAAATCATGATATTCTTTTCCTTCAGAAATTTCTTTACGGTTGTGTTCAACATCTCCGTTCCTTTGTCGTACTGCAACTTTTCAGGCTCGCCCAGATCAATAAATGCCTTGCTTAACGCTTCCTTCGTGTCAGTTCCAGTCTTGGTTTTTAACGGTTGCACACTCAATTTCTTGGAGAAACAATCAATGACGAAAAGTAAGTACTTATATCCATCGTTTTCTTTTGCATATTTAGCCAAGTCAGCCAGATCAGCTTGGAACTGCTGTTGCAGGTTGGTGACAACTATGCGGTTGCGCGGAAAGCGCTTCCGCGACTCCTTGTTGACAGTGTACGCATCGATTTCCTGCAGTATTTCCTGTGCTTTCCGTTTGTTGGCTCTTGTCTTTAAGCTGTTTCGAAATCTTTGGACGCCGCCAAGACCGCCGGGGTCCCGCGGGTTGAGATATTTCTTCATTAGCTTCTCCATTATTACAACAAGTTGATACGCAGTTGATCTTAAATATTCGACACAAGCGTAAGACTGTTGGAATAAAGCCAGACATTATGGTAAAGTAATCCACCGAATTCTGTGAGCACCGCTACCTTTCTGGACCGTACGAGAACGTAATTTTCGCTTTGGGTCGTCTACAGATATATCGGATTGTCGCTTTTGTCCTTTTAAGGGGGTAGAGAGAGGAAACAATGGAATTCGTTTTTGCTTGCGCGGTTTTGGATGCTCTTCTTTGCCTTTGCGTTTTTTTCCCTTGGTAGGAAAACTCGCTGGAAAAAGTGCTAAACGCTGACTTTTTGCCGGCGATTGTTGATCCGTATCGTCTGAGAGGTTTCGTTTTTGACCTTTCACAGGTAATGACTCTGGAAACAATGGCAGGCGTGGTAGCTTCTGGGATGTGTCGCTGACTTCCTCGTCAGTCCTTTTTCTTTTCCAGCCTTGACTTCTGTTAAATTCTTGAGGGTCTGCTAACGGTGTTGGTTGTGTAACAGGATCAGTGGACAGCTCCAGAGGATTTTCGTCCGGTAAGGCTTTCTGCTTAAGTGCCAGGAAACGCTCTAGAATGCTTGTTAGTTGGTCGGCCTTTTGGTATTCGTTTAGATCGTTTCGGTGAAGCGTTTTGGCAATAAGCTCATCTAAGGATACAACTGCTCTAGCTTCAGGCGGTTCTTTGTTGATTTGCAATTTTTCATGCATTCGGTCTTCCATGATACGTCGAGGAACAATGTAGTACTCATCCATTTCCAATTAACGAAGTCAGGACTCCCGCGAGAACTGGTAAAATTGCTCCAATAAATCCTCCCTGCTGCAATATCTTACGCTTCTCTTTCAACGGGTATCGTCGTAAAGCAATTAGCTTTAATGCTTTTCGATGGCGTTTGCACTTGTCCATCTGTGATGGGGAAAGGGCGACTGTATTTTTGACTATATTGACAGCAATCTCTTCCAGAGCTTTCATCTGGGGTTTGCTCATATAGCTCATCAAAACACGTCGCTGCCGTGGCTTCAGTTTCTGCAGTGTTATTATAAATGGCGCCAAAGATTTTACGCGTTCAGACATTTTGGAAGTGCTGAAGAACCGCGATGCAAATAAATCCTCATCTGTTCGTGTGGAAGCACATGGGAGCGTATCCGTAAATAGTCTGGGCAGGTTGACCTTAAGTCCAATATAAGCGGTTGGTAGGATTGCGAAGTAACTTTATTATAGGCATCCACAAGGTGTTTTAATCCCGTTTGCCTAGCCAAAAGTGCTATCTGATTAACATCTCTGACATTTTTAAAAAGTACCAAATATTGCAAATTCAGGGTTATATCCCGCATGCTTTTTCCTTGCTTAAATAGGTTTTGCAGTAGAACAATAACTGAAACATTTTTATGGTGAATGCCACGTGTGAAAAGGTCAGCGCATCGCACATCCTGGCAAATGTCGGTAGCCAGGTCGTCGATGACCACCAACGTCTGCCGATTTGTATCAAGCAATTCCAAAGTGCTGAAAAGTTCGTCCAAACCCTTAATGAATTCAATAATAGGGATTGTAGATTGGAGAGTCTCAAAGCTTTTTTGCCAGGCCCCATAACAGTAAATAATTTTTTCTGGTACTTTATCAAAAACATGATCTCGTTGTTCGATTAAAGAGAAAACAAATTGTGACTTTCCCGACATTGTAGGACCGCAGACGGACATACCAAACGGTGCGCAAAAGCGCGGATACTCTTTTAATGTGTTATACATCTTACAGGCAATGGACTGCACTGCTTCATGCACAAACTTAAATATTCACTTTTATGAAAAAAACAGCTTGATGACCTTTCTAATTCCAGTTCGACATATGGGACAATTTTGAACTTTTACTGCACAAGACAGACAACATACTGCATGACCGCATGGATCGAATACCGCTGTTATATTCTGTGCAATACATATTCGACACTCTTTGTACAGATCACTTTCTTCATTATTCTCCGCTTTTTTCTTCACCGAATCCTTGATTTGCTGTATGGCCTCTCTTAATTCTTCGACGGTTTGAAAACGTTTGACAGGTTGTTGACGCTTTTCTTTTAGGGCTTGCACAATATGCGTGTAATGGCACCCACTGTTCAACGCTGACATAACAATGTACTCGTCGTGATCGTCTTCGTCTTCTTCAAAAATCCACCTGTTACGCTCCAAACCATGCAGGCGTTGAACGTCGGAGATAAAAGCTTGACCTTTCTGCTCTATTAGGTGCGGACACTCTGGTGAAAACTTTGCATGCTCGGTCCACGGATCGTCATCAGTCTCCCAACGTTCGATGCGTTGCCCACATGAAAAGCATTGCGCACAGTCACCCATTTCCAGAGAAAAAAAACCAGCACTGGCAAAATCTTTAGGGTGCTGAGCTAAATGATCAGGCCAACTGGCAAATGTACTAAACCGGTCCCGGTACTGTCGCATTCGAGGCACATAAACATCCTCTTCCTTAATACCCGCCACGAACGTACAGCCAGGGCTAACTCGCCTGTGTTCGAACAAGGGATTGTCGCCGATAGCCCACTGGGCGAGACAGCATTTACAGGATACACATTTAACTCGATCGTCAATTCCTGTGTATACGAAGCCAGCCTCAGCTAATGAATACGGTGAAACAATTGCTAGAGGCCAGTGATTAAACGTTCGTAGACGCTTTTCCAAATTCATGACGGTTTCTGCAATAAAAGTTAAAAATCCTTTATGAATCTATTAAAGGTTAACGATAAACATTAAGCATACACAACATGGCGGGTATACAACACATGCTTCCGGACACCTCAGGTGTCCAGAAAAAGTGTGAAAAAGTTTTGCTAATTATTTTGTATGTAGTATTCTTCATAGTTTTTGCCGCTTTAATAGTGATTGAAGGAATCGGAAAAGTATTACAAAGCGACCATTGGAATCAAACGATACGAAATAACTCGCTATAACTCACATCTTCATTCAGCAGCAGAAACCGCGGGAATTTGTAAATTGGGATAGCTCGGTCTGGTAGGTAATATGTCACTCATCATCTTAACCTTGAAGGTATGTTTTTTGTCCGCAAATTACAGTTGCTGGGAGCTTTTTGTGTTGAGGTCCGCAACAACGACCATTCCGTTAAAATAAACTAGCCACCTGTGGTAAAAATCTCGAAAGCTAAATCTGTCCGCTGATCCCGAACACCACCGCATCAAAAGCCATCCACACAACGTGCACAACAGCGGACATTCGCGTTTTCGGGAGCTCTTCGACATTAGGGTGGGTGGGTATTGTAGTACTTAAATAAAAAGGATTACTTATTTTCAATTTTTCTTACCTTTCACAAATATGGAAACCAAAATCCACCCCACTCAAGCTCATTGGTCGGTTGCGATGGTTGATTCAATCGAGCCACATTTTGAATGTAACCGGTACCACGCACATCGCAAATATACGCGCATTTTCTGCTTCTCAGAGCGTGCTCATACCACACATCGAGACTACGTTCCCAAAACACCAGCTCCAGCCCACAAGAAAAACACTTTGCGTAATGAACGGCATTAGGTGTGTAAAAAAAACCAGCCTCAGCTAAAAGAACTGCACCTGCTCGATGATGTGGGTGACGATTACGCCACACCTCAAAACTTTGCAGGCGCGAGGCAAATGTTCGGTATTCTGGACGTAAAACTGGGGTATCTGATGAGAAATCTTGTTTGAAACTCATGCTCATACTTTGGTTTTATGGACAACTAAAAGCAGTAACGTTAACGGAAACGTTACGTGCTGCCAAAGGGTACATGGTGCCAGGTACCGGTGTTTAACACCAAGCAACGTGCTTGGTGTCAGGTACCAAATATTTGCGAAAGTACAACTATTATGCAGTAGCTACTTTCAGTGCGTTTTCGTTTGTCTCATACACTTTTCTAAAAACAATCATGCCTAGCTTGTCAAAAATGCTTAACGGTTTAGATTATCTCCGAACTCTGAATTCCGACGTTACTGAAATTATACTAGACGGTCGTTGTGTACAGGAAGATGCCTGGGTCGAATTGTCTCGGTTTCAAGAACTGGAAAAGTTCAGCGCTATTGACTGTGGCATTCGCAGCCTCCTGGGTTTTCCGCTACTGCCGAAATTGCGTGTCCTTGTCTTGCATGATAACCAGCTGGATGAATTTACCGTACTGCAGCACACATGTCCTGAACTGCAACGTCTGGGAATTGCCAACAACTTTGTGTTTTTCCCATCCCAGCTGGAGCCGCTGCGCCACCTACCAAAGCTGGTATCCCTAGATGTTGAGGATAATGACGTATGCAACATCCTACGTTTTGAAGTCTACATGAGCCGTAACTTCCGAAATGTCAAGAGACACGTGGTAGATTTCTACGACTCGGACAGCGATGACGACACCGGCGCTAACTGATGTTTTGTGCAAGTACTGTAAGCCATGTAACGCTGTATACCGCTATCTGTTTTTTCCTACAAATACCTCAAGTTTTTCTGCCATTTCCAACGTAGTTGTAAGCGAGATATCGAATTACTTAAGCTATAATTCATTAACCTGTTTCCTGTTGTTTTGTTGTTTTCACCCTCAAGATTTTTTTGTATAGAGTAACTAAGCGTTGCTAATTCATTAAATATCACTTGTTCGGTTGTTGCAGTTTGTTCTCACTTTTTTTTAATACTTAATTCGGCACATACCAGCTAGAAATACACGCAGCACAAAATAATAATGTCAAAAAAACACATATTTGAAATATGGTGATCTTCAGAATATTATTACAGCAACCCATATAAACTAGTACGTGTCTACAATATCGTCATCAACACTGTACGATTCCAAACGTTTACAAAAATAGTCCATCAAGAAAAGCTGCGGTGTGTACCGTGGCCAGTAGCGTTCCCAGACCGGGTTTCCAAACAAGTCCAGGTGTTTCAGGTTCTGCAGGTCCATCAGCGGTAGGAACGCATGCTTCTCACCAAACCAATTGTCTGCCAGGGAGAGCTTTTCCAGATTGGGGCACATTTCGGATAAACGGGACAGGCAGCCGTGCATTAGCAAGTAGTTGTCATTCAACACCAGGGTACGAAGATTCGGGAGGTATGGTAAGGCACTCAAGTTATATAACTCACAGTTCCTCATGCTAAGCGTATGTAAGTTTGGAAACCAAGGCAACGTCTCGAAGTCACGACGTCCATTAACAACTTCAATACGCCGGCCGTCCAGGTTAATAGCTGTGGCTGTTAACGGTAGTGAACACAAATGCTCATAAGCACTATTAACTTTGGAGGAAAACGACATGGTTTTAACGTTAAATAAGACGAAAAACTAAGTGTTGCTGAATACCGACTTTATTTTCACAAAAACACGAAGGTGTCAGAGTTACTGCTGGCTGTTTATATTAACCTGGTGGTACATGGTGCGCGGTTTCCTTTCGACAACCATTGGTACATGGCACCAAGCAACCATTCGCATAGCAACCGTACTTGGTTTTCGTGCACGGCACTGATGGAATAGTCCAGGTTATTTAAAAGCATGCGCAGCGCAAATTACCTTTACTTTGATTTTGTAAGTTACCTCGTCTGTACTTTCTACAAACATGGAGTCTAAGAAGTTTCCATGTAGTAAGTGCTCAAAGTCCTATACATATTACCATGACATGAAGCGCCACCATAAAGAAAAACATGTCCAGTCCAGTGTTATGCCTTGCCCATTTTGCCAACGCCGCGTGCAGAGTCGTTGGCTGCTACGTCATCAAATGTCCACCTCTTGCCATACCGTACGCTCGATTCCCAATGAGACTTCTATGGTAGCTGCGCCCATCGTAACCACGCATGAAATACATACTGACACAGCTTTCTTTCCTGATTCTGATACATGTTTCGTATGTCCGATTTGTAGCGTTGGTTTTGGTAATGCACGTGCGCTTAACGACCATTTACTGATTGCTCAGTGTCGCTATAATGGATATAAGGATAGTGTATTCACGCAATAAATGTTGGCCGTGTTTATATTTCTCGGTTACCTTCCGACCAGTTGGGCTGGACTCGAACCCGCCCAACTGGTGCCGCCGCGTACTTACACATATACACCGCACTGAATATCGTTATTCGATATTCATTACAAATATATGGCTAATGACCGCACACGTATACAAAACGCGGCTCTCGACCGCATACATGTACAAAGGGTGGTTTTCCAACAATACATGTACTACTGTTCACATAACCGCTTGGCGGCTAAGAAATTTTATAGAACTGGCGAGAGGTTATGGCCAAATACTTACTTACATGCTGTCAGCGCGTACTGGGCCATCACAAATCTGTATGTGCACAGCGTTTACACCATGTAAAAGTTCGAACAGAAAATTTTCTTTCGTCTGTCTGAACGCTTGGTGCAGTACGAGGATGGGGTAAATACACGGGATAGACGAGAGAAAGGGCAAGAATAAGGGATAACCTGCCCAGGTCGTGCAACACGGGCATTCGACACTGTTTTGCTGACACAAATAAAATAACCGAAAATATTACGCATTAGTACCACCGCAAACTTTATCATTTACAACAATACCGTACAAGTAAAACAGTAAAACTCGTAATACTTACATGACTTTTGCACAACATCACAAACGAAAGAAATTCACTTTCTACACATTCTGAAAGATTTTTTGTTTTTCGTCGGTGTATTTGTGATGTCACTGAGCCCCTTAGAATTCTTTTTTCTCTTATTCTTCTGTCGCAGCTTTTCAACTTCTCGCTGTTCGAGTGCTTCAATCACTTTGCTGTCCGTTGCAATCAGACCAGCCTCCGCCCGCAAACGTGAATCTTTGAGTTTTTTCTTTTTCTGAGGATGAGCGCTCATGAAATTTTTTGTGCCAATCCGCAGCCACTTTTTCCGCGGGAACGGGGTAGTAAAGCCTTCTGCCTTGGTAATGGTAAACGCCAAAATCTCTTCTATTGCGCCTTCGGTCAAAAGAGGAATTTTTGAAGACTTCGGCGCACAACTTGCAGTTCGCTCACGTAAACATTGGCAATAGAAATAGGCAAGTCAGAAACCAGCTGACTTGGAACTGGCTCTACATAAGCCCGGCACACCGCATCCGGGTTAAACGGATAAATTCCGGAAGAAACAAACCCAGAGACAATATTGGCAGCCATGTTAAAATCATTCCACTTTTCCACAATGTGCCGGGCAAAATTCTGTTTGGTAACCTACAAACAACGAAATTCTTCTCACTAATAATAATAACTAATAAAAAAAAACTAAAAAGCGAAAATGATAAAACAAAACAAAATAATGAAGCAAAATAATGAACCAACAGAATAAAATTTGCAAAGTTGTTTTACCTCTTCCGTGGGAATCAGCGTCATCTGTCGTAGGTAATCCCGCCAGTATTTCTTAACAGGGCCGTACACTTTAATATCCATGGGCTGGAGTTTCCCAGTCTGGCCGGACGGCAGTATGACAACGGTGATGTCCTTATCGGATTTCATACATTCCGACAAAAATTCCAGATTGAACATATGAGAGCTATGCCCGTCGAGAAAAATCACATTCTAGAAAACAATCACAGCTCTTTTATAAATCAGAAATATTAAAAAAACTAAATACCAAAACTGGCTTAATCAACAAAATAAAAATCATACCTTCGCTGCCGTCATTTTGGGGATAACTTCCTCTCTGATGTAAGAAGTAAAAGTCGAGTTATCCATCACGCCCGATGAATTGAAACCAATGTAGCACTTGTCGTCCGTGCCCTCAAAACGAGATGCAAGAACAACTTTTCCATCAAACAAAATCAGTGGACGCAAAATTTCTCCGGCCGCATTGCCACCCGCAAGTACAGTAATTAATTCCCGGTCGTTCCCGTCGTAGTATGAAAGTACTTCCTTGACACCCCGCTTGGCATAAACGGTGGTTACTTTCTCAGATACTTGGAACGCCGACTCGTCGAAATTCCAAATTCCAGCGGGATCGTACAGCAGTCCGTCGGTGTTGAGTTCACTCAGCCGTTGTATCCAGCCTTCCCTATTTTCCACCGTCCATTCTTTAGCCTTTTTTCTGGAGACGCCGTGTGAGATTCGTTGCGAAATCTTTGGGTGCCTCTTAAGGAATTCACGGTGCCAAAACTTGGTAAACGTTTTCCGCTTCTCTGGCATATCTGTAAAAAATAACACCGTGCTACGGTAAAACAATAAAAATAATTAAAAATTAAAAACAACAACACTACATGATAATACTAATGCCATTTAAATAGTCTGCAAAATTTAGACGCCATTGACAGCAATCGAAGTGAAAACTATAAAAAAGCTTGTGTGTTGGCAATTAAACGGCAACAATTTTTTATCTTAATTTATTTGTTAAATTTTTTATATAAGTACCTTTAGATTTGGCCAACAACGGGACAATTCGCTTTAAAAATCGCTTGTCCAATGGTATGCCGTTCTCTGCACATTTCAGCAATAAGTGTTCGATGTAATCCTCTTCAGCTTCGGAGAATTTTCTTAGGTGAGCTCCCTTCTTTCCCGTACGCACTCCTCTAAGTTTCTTCCACAACGAAGTATAAGGAACCTTGAACTTTTTCGCAGCTGCATATTGCGAGAGGTTTCCTGATTTGTAGGCTTTCAGTGCCAACGCCATACGATCACTGTAAGCGTGTGGCAAAGGCAGATCATAAACAAATTCCTCTACACAGTCCGCACTCAAAGGTAGTCCGGAGACGGCGCTGGTAGACCCGAATGAAATCTCCATGGCAGATGCAGAAAATAAACTGGCAGGTAGCTGTACTTCTTCGCTGATATTCTCATCGCAATACACTATAGGAGGCGAATGCGCTGCTTCGGAGGGAGATTCCGAACTCTCCATTTCTTTAAGTTTAATTGAGTGTCAGCAAAATAAAACTCACAAACCAAAGCATAAATGATAATTTGACGAACTCATAAGCAGAACCAAAAGTACTCACAGTTACAGTGTTACTGTACAAGCAAAGTATTTGAAACAAAATGGCAAAACGGCAGCCCGTACTCAACGGCTAATGCAGTATTCTGTGCGCTAGCTTTCACAGACCGCCAGCCTTTGGCGGCTGGCTGTCCTGCACAACACGTGAATGGTTATCCCTTATGTTTGCCTGTTTTTTTGTCTATCCCGTGTATTTACCCCCTCCTCGTATTACTGGAACTTGGCGGTACATTAAAGTACGGCGGTACGTTTGGTGCAGTAGGTTTGGAGCAGTAGTACAGTACTTCTTGGCGGTACATTAAGAGCTGGTACGTAGTTCACTTACTTCACTTTGTATTTGCAAACCTACGTCGGATAGCTCTCAGGTGAGATATTGTTGCCTTCTTCAGAACACGCGATTTCGCAAAAACATAGATTTTCTATGCTAACACAGCAAATGCTTTCCTATGCTAGCACAGCAAATTCCAAGGTTTCTTTTGCAAACCGATGATACAATGCAATAACAATTAACGGATAATAGTGAATCATGTATTCATTGTCGATTACCTACTGGCTTAGTTGCATCACTTGCATGGGCAGCCGACGCGGCTGTTGGTAATTCCGTTTTACCCAGCACACCGTCGCCATTCGTATTCTTATTGCGGAATACCTGTTTAGCTCAACTGCTTGCCGTTGCAGGGGCTGGTTTTGCCACGCCTTTTGATGGCTTTAGGTGGTCCATCACATCTTGCACCGTCTGCAAAGCGACCATCGCACTCATTTAAACTGAACAGTTCGCCCAAGGCGGTGCTGATTTTAATTATGAACTCTTTTAAAGAAACCGAAAGGACGTACTGGTGAACGATTCGGATACAGGTTAGCCAAGGGAAAATTGCGAACCGACTGATAATTGCATCGTGATCTGGTTTTGCAGTATTGGATTGTGCGGCGCGCATCTGACCAGTTGGTCTATGTCGGGATAAGAAAGCGCGAACTTTGTTGAAAGGGTAGCCGTTGCTTGTATCCATCGGTCCCAATTTGTCAGCATCATCACACTTCCCGATGGAATCTGCTGCGCCGAGGATATATTTGCAGGTTACCGGTCTGCAGCCGCGCCATACCGTCGGCACACTTTAGTTATTTTCAGGCTAAAACCCAGTCACAACCCACCACGTTTACGTGTGCCACAGTGCTGACAAACTCCCCCAGCTAACCCCGTTACACGGGAACTCTATCCGAAGAATAAAGATTGTACACGGCTAGCGAATTGTTTCATGAGTGGTGCCAAGTTGTGGTATCGTGTGTATAAACAACCCTACCGACCTTTCCTCATGTGCACTGTAGGTACATCAGAATGGATTATTACTTATATATGAGCAGAAACGACCAAACCGGCAGACTGTAAATATGTTATGTTATTATTTAACTATGTAATATTTTATGTAAATATGTTATGTTAGCGTAAATATGTTATGTTTTTGAACTCACCATGTGCGCATAATGTAGTCACTTCATACCATTCTCACACATACTTCCAGAAAGAAACACAGAATCAAAAGTAATTGGTGAACGCATCATATTTTGTTTTATTTAAGAAATAAAATATTACGGCAGTAGTAATCTGCATAAGGAGAGTCATAGAATACAGATATCTTCCGCTTCTAGTGAACCCATGGAGAAGTTTGAGTAACCTCTAATGCCTTGCATTTCCAGTTGTAGCTGCATAAATTTTCTGCAGCTGGCCATTTCTTCTGGCATTAGGGGAACGTTCTCTGCCATTCTTGCAGCGGTTGGGCTTTCGTCCAGTTATAACTTGAGTCGTGATGATCACCTATGACAACGGTTCTAATGAAATTTGATTACATTATTCCACATTATTCCTTTACTCTGCGGCGCTCGACTCGTTGCCCTACGGAAAAAGGGCGGAGGCCTGCGTCCAATTGCCGTCGGAAATGTATACCGCCGCATCGCTGCCAAGGCGGTGGATACCCGAATTCGGCCAATTACATCGGAGATTCTCCAACCACACCAACTTGGTTGCGGTGTAAAGAGGGGAGTGGAAGGAATATTCACGCAGCTAGGGACTTTCTTCTTCAATATAGCAGTGGTGTTAAAGCCCTCCTTAAAATTGATTTTACCAACGCTTTCAACTGCGTTTCGCGCGAGGAAGTATTGCAGATAGCAGCCGACGTCATCCCGGAATATTACGCCTTTATTAAAATGTGTTACGGTGCACAGTCTTCGCTCTTTCTGGAAGAAACAGTCATTTCCTCGCAGTCCGGCGTACAGCAAGGGGATCCTCTCGGACCGGTTTTGTTTTGCTTGGTACTGCAGTTCATCATCTACAAACTGAACACTTACCTGAATGCGTGGTATATGGATGATGGGACGCTAGGAGGATCACCATCGGAAGTAATCCGTAACTTCCTGTTGCTGATAGAAGAAGCTAAAAAGATCGGCCTGGAAGTTATTATTGCGAAGTGCGAAGTTTTTCTGTGCGGGGGCACCGAAGCACAGCGTACATCGGCCGCTGACGACTTCTCCACATTATTCCCCGGAATAGCTGTAGTGACAGCTGGTAAACTGAATTTGCTCGGAACCCCTCTCTTACCAGCCGCCGTAACCCCGATGATCAACGAGAAGATCAGACAGTTGAGAATTATGTGCAGCCGCTTGCAGCTTATCCCTAAACACCGAGCGTTGTTCCTGTTGAAGAACTGCCTTGGAGTGCCAAAAATTGTGCACATATTGCGCACCTCCCTCGCATGGATGTTCCCACAAGAGTTGTACAGGCTGGACCAAGTATTTCGCGAGACGGCGGAGATCATCACCAATGTGAAGATGGACCACCCAACGTGGCTCCAGGCCTCCCTTCCCGTTCGTTTCGGTGGTTTGGGGATCAGACACACTGAGAAGCTAGCTCCTTCTGCCTACTTGGCATCGGCTTCCTCGTTGCACCCACTAATTTCCAGATTATGCCCGACACTGACGGCCACGGATGTCGTTACCGTCACGCGCGCCTGGAAGTTAGAAGCAGACACTGACGAACTTCCGGTGGAAGTTTTCCGACACGTCCAGAAAGCATGGGACACTCCCACGACACTGCAGACATTTTCAAGGCTGACCGCACTACGGACTTCACAGGAGGAAGTTGCGCATCTTAAGGCGGTATCAGTCCCGGAAGCAGGCTTGTGGATCCATGCATTACCGGCAGCTTGCCTTGGTAATCTGTTAGATGACAACGCTTTTCGCATAAGTGTCGCGCTGCGTTTGGGAGCACCGATCGTCACTCCACACGTATGCGTTTGTGGTGGGCTGGTCGACGAGTTCGGCCGGCACGGACTTCGCTGTAAACGGTCTGCTGGAAGATTACCACGACACGACGGAATCAGCGCGGATTTCACCCGGGGCCTAAAATCAGCTGGCTTTCCTTCGAGAATGGAACCAAAAGGTTTATCCTTGAAAGATAAGAAGAGGCCGGATGTGATCACCCTCATTCCGTGGAAGCGCGGAAAACCGCTGGCAGTGGATGTTACCTGCGTGGACACGCTGGCAGCCTCGTATATCGACCGCACTTCGTGAATGCCGGCGCAGGAGCCGAACTCGCTGAAAAAAAGAAACTAGCGAAACACGCTTGGATGCAAACAAGATACGATTTCGTTGCCGCAGCTTTCGAAATTGACGGACCTTTTGGAGACGGTACTAAAAAGCTGGTAGAAACGGTTGGAAACGGTATTGCGGCTTCAACTGGCCAAAAGCGGGCGAAAGAGTTTTTTAAACAGCGAATATCTATGCAAATACAACGGGGAAACGCGATTTGTGTAATGGGTACGATCCCCGACCAGGATAGCATAGAGGAAGTGTTTCTTTTGTAAATGCTGTTTTGTTCTGGTGCAAGTTTGCACTCGTACCATGATACTTATTAAAGGTTCTCGTACGATAAAATTTGAAAGGCACAATGAAGCACCTGCAGAAAATCAATTAATCACACAAGTCATTTCGCCAGGCGCACAGCGATGACCAAGCGGTAGTACCATCGAGAAGTAATGGCTTCTAGTAGTTCAGATTTTGTTTTGAATTTCCATACTGGTTATTGCTGCTATGATACGGAATAGTGGAGAGCGGGAACAATCATAGCTTCTGTCTGGACAGTTAGATGGCCTGCGGTAAAGGTCATGAAAGTATGGTCAGAACATATACCACAATGTGTTGTGCCACACAAAAGAAACCAGCTTATTTTTGCGAACGTATGATTTTGCGAATAAGATTATTTACATATTGCGATTCGTATTGACTGTTAGTGTGTTACCAACAACCAAGAACTTACTATAGGTAGAAGACTGGGAAGCGACTCTGCAACGGTCGACTACGTCATCACTGTCGCATACAGAATGCACTGGTGTGCTATTGCTTACCATAGGCCCACAGATTTTTTTGTCCCTTTTTAAAGATATTCTCAGTTCCTTTCACCTCTAAAGTTTTCTGATATTTTAACAGATCATACCAAATTTAGAAACCCAAACATGATGGGCTAGAAATAGAAGAGAAAAGAAATATGCTGAGAAAACTGACAAAAACCGTAAAAAACGCGCATCTGTCACCATGGCAGCCGCCCTCCCGTGTATGCGAGAGTGATGACGTCAAACGGTAGGTTACCAGTCCTCCTCACACTATAGTAAGTACTTGCAACAACCTATGTATCTGATGCAATACAAAATTCTGCACCGTATTCCTGTGCTACAAGAACCAGAACAATTTTAAAGTTATCCAGTAGCATGGCTCAAGTTTATGCTGATAATTATACCAAAACCGAGTACAGAGTATATACTCCTGTTCATTAGGGAACTATTAATAAAGCGAACAGCATTAACAAGGCAAACAGCATATCCCGTAGCACGGATTAAGACGGATGTTGATAATTATACCAAAAGTGAAGAGATTTATGCCTGCTTTTCAGGGAACCATCAATAAGGCGGACATCATGACAGTGAAGGAGAGCCAGCAAACGGTGGGACGATGTGCTGGCGCAAGCATCGCGTTGACCTGGTCTGTTGTGTATGCCCACTCCGCATTGCATCCATCGGTGTTACAGTAGCACGTCAAATGCGAACGTGAGCCGATGCCGGAGCAGCCCAGTTTTTGTTCGGCGGTTATCCGCCAACAGGTGCGATATGGCTCTATGTCTGCAAAATATCTTCATTACAAAGTACTTATTTGATTCTGTCCATGCGTCCGTATTGATAAAATGAAATGAACGGTGAACGTCGGTTCCCGGTCCAAGTCACTATTCACTAAGCTAATCCACAATTCAACGACCGAGATAGTGCTGACTGGACGGACCGACAATATTTGCTTCTTTGTGAAATCGTTGACCAAATATTTCGTCGAATCGAATTCTGTGAGCGACAGCTTACATTTCGGTGCGGTTCTTTGTTCAACTGCTGTTCTCTGAGAAATCGTTTTGATTTTCCTTAGTCTCTACGGAATATTTTTATTTTTTTTATTTTTGACGTTCAGCCGAATGTCACCAGCAAATCGTCGATGTTGAGCAGAAATTCAAAAGACTCGCCGATCGTCGATTTGCCACTTTAGCAAAACATCGGACAAGGGTTTGTCGGTCATAAAAAAGGGGGGGTTGACCGATCGGTTACCAAAATAGTGACAAGCAAACTGCCGGCGTGGAAATTGTAGTACAGTGAACCACTGCCGCCAACTGTTTTACCTTGTGCGTTTGTTGATTTCTTGGTAAATTTCACCATGCACACTTCACCCAGTTCGCATGTTTCCACTCTGGAGAAGATGTTCCCCGTCGACAAATGCAGGAATACATAGCACTGTAGAGCACTTACTTCCATGCCTTCAATAAAAAGGTTCATTTCGGAATCCGTCGGTTTTTAAACTCTTGGCTGAACCTATCTAAGCAAGCTTACACAGAGCGTAACAACTTATTAAGATAAAGTATTAAATCAAGTTTACTTATTTTAATTAACTGGCTTTAACACTCTATATTTGCATTTATCTGTACACGAAGGTTTCTTCTGTTTCGCGGAGGCGAAGTCATTGGGTTCACCTCAAGCTGGTGTGAAATGGCCTGTTATTCACAAAAAAAGGTTTTTTACACTTTGTTCTTGCCTTTCATTCAGCAACCCAAGAAAAACGTAAATTATTCTGATGATCAGAAAAAATGCTTCGCTGAATGTTTTGGCTGCATAGGCTAAATTGCGCTGCCATACCAGGAGGCTGCCATTTGTTGATTAGCCGGAAGCGGTTTGAATTAATAGTTTAAAAGCTTAGACTTCATTGATTTCAACAAAATGTTTGAAAAAGTTGAAAGAACATAAATTTTCCGAAGAATTCAGGGTCGGTAGTATGAAATCCAAGGCCAGGGCGGGGTTGCATGAATTTTTCAGTGATTAAACAAGCCTCACAGACACACGGACGAGTGCGAGCAGTAATTAAAATAAAACCTCTGTTAAGTCTAACTTCGACATTGTACTGCGTATTTTACTGAATTTTTGCAGAGGATTGGCACCTATTACATACACTGTACACAGTCCAGTTTAATCTCAGTAATCTGGCAATGATGAGTATTTGAATCAACAATTGCGGGGTATTTGCTTGTTTTTCGGCAGTGAGCGATGAAGAAGAAAAATAAAAACGTTTTACCCTTAGTTAGTATTTAACAGCCTAAATCAAACTGCTGGAAAGGGGAAAATCAAAGAAAGTAAATATCGTACCTACCGTAGACTGCGAAATACAGGAGGCCAAAAACTACAATCGACCGCATTTTCCGTAACAGCAGAACGCTATTCACTTTTGCAACTTTACAAACAAAAATATTTGCGCGCAATACTGGTTCCGAAAATACGCTCGCTTTTAAAGAAATGCAAGCACCAGGCAAAGCGCTTCTTAATCTGAGCACTTCCAGTCAAAAACGTTATTCTCACCACATATGAAGTCGCAGAGATTTATAACTGATTTTGCTATTTTTAGACGGCACGAGGAGCTAATGCCGGAGTGATGTTTCAGTATAGTGTTGTTGGATGTTGGCTTGCTTTCCCGTTAGTTATGGTTCTGTGTTTCACTCGTTGCGCCAGCTAAATGTTTAGCTTGTCCGTTTTTAGACACCGCGTAACTGCTTGGTACAGCAGGGCAAATTAGTCGTTCTTGGCTTAGGCCCGGTTTGTCTTTCAGTTTGCAATGGAGCGGATTAACAGAGCCTAAATACTAGAGCGGAATACTTTTTGCAGTAGAGCCCTACATTTTTTTATTGACCGGAGCGCAGCGAAGGTCTTCCTAATTCACTTGTGACTTGTGAGTGCTTTGCTTCACTTGTGTCCGTTACGGAAGTTCAAGCTATGCCGTCATTCTGGACCATTCGGATGGCGTCACGGCTAAATACAACAGTTTTGTGTTGCCGTTAGTGAAGTTTCGGCAATGAAGTCGTTGCTTCACATCGGTAGCATCACTGGACTGTACAGGTGTTCTAAAGTGCATTCGGGCTCATTTCGCAGTACTATAAGTGCGCTGCAATAAAAGTTCTTAGACTGAATTAACATCGTTTTGCAAAAGATATCAAAAAGACTATGTTGCAGCGTACATACGTCCGGCAGAGCCACGTTTGGTAGTGAGCATCTAAGAAGTCACTAAAAGACCTAATTTGATAAAAGTTACTTGTTTCAAAGGCCATACATGCAGTAGAACCGTATCCGCAGCAGGGTAATCCAAATAAAGTAGACTCTATAGCAGATCGTTTCCCATTCTCTTACCCATTTCTTGATCCTTGGTCGCCGTACCCGACATATGTTGTGCTCTGACTTTTATCTTGCATGGCATCTTGCATGGCTGATCATGATGCACGGCAAATGTAATTATAAAATAATTATTTCAATCGTATTAGTTTTTTGTAATTCAGTTATTGAGTACAGTGTTTCAGAACCTCACTAAATATTGAGATATTGCCGTAAATTTGTTATTGCGATAATGCCGATAACTGTTTTACAGTGGCCGTATTTTTAAACGCCAATATAGGCGCATAATACAAGCCACAAAGTAAATGTTCATTTATTGGCTTTAACGCCTCTTGATTAAACTTGTACAGTGAAATGACGTTGAAACTCAGAAGGCGACAGAGTATAACGCTCGCACGCCATCAGAACATAACCTTTAAGGACAATGGGCAAAAGCTCAACAGTTTTTCGGGCTATGGTGGCTGCATTTTGGGAATAAGATTGTTGCGACTCGTATATCGAACAAACTACCGTTGACACACTGCAAAATTCAGCACTACAAAAGCCAGAAAATTTGTCAGTTTATCCAGTAGCACTGGTCAAGATGGATGTTGAATAAAATAAAACAGAATGAAATCCAATTAAATAAACCAGAACTGAATAAAATCTCCAACTGTTCTTTAGGGAACCAATAATAAGTCATACAACATGGCAGTGAAGGAGAGCCAACAGATGGAGGGACGGTGTGCTGGCGCGAGCATCGCGTTGCACTCCTCCGCTGTGTACAAGCTTGTCCGGTAATTTCTGCCGGTTCAATACAGCGAAGTATACAAATTTGCGTGTTACGCCAAACTCTATGCTACGGCGCGCCACGCCCCACTGCTTAAATACGTAACACGCATCTGGCTGGCAGGTGGCTTGGTGCACGCCAGGTAATTTAATGAGAATAACAGTAACTGCCTGGCTGAAGGTGGTTAGAAAACGGTCGGTGTAGTAATGGGCAATCTATCTGCGGAGCGCATTTAGGCAACCCGATAAGAGGTAGTGACGTGGCCATCATTTTAAGCGCAAATTTCGCGCTAGCTGTACCTTTACGACAGAAATTGCCGGACAAGCTTTTACATCCACTCCGCATTGCGTCCGTCAGTGTTACATAAGCACCTCACCTCCAAGCCTGTGCCGATGCCGTAGCAGTCCATTTTCGTCTGGGCGGTGGCCTGTATACAGGTGCGGTACGTCTCTACGCCTGCCAAATATCTTAAGTAATATCTTATCTCGTATTTAATTTTGTGCATGCTAAAATATTTTGCCAAAACCATTTCGTGACCTTTCGGTTCTTCTCTTATGTTTATTTCTGCTTTTTCTTAGATATCTTATTGTCTTCTCCTTCTCGAAAACTCTTATGTCATTCAGCCGAATGTCATCAGCAAATCTTCGGTATTTAGCAGATAGGTAGTCATTTAAAAGCTGTTGATTTTCGCTTTTTTGTTGCAATAAACTATCGGGTAAGAGTTTTGTCGGTCAGAAAGTATTCGTTACTGGCCGGCGGTCAGTCACCAAGATAGTGCCACTGGCCAGTAAACTGTCGAGTTGCTTCAGCTGGAAATTACAGTACTTGTTTACTGTAGTAAACTGTATCATATCCGCCAGTTGTTATACCGTACCTTGTCCGTCTGTCGCTTTGTTGGTGTAGGCAAATCTCACCATGCACACCTCACCCAGTGCGCAGGTTTCCACTCCGGACTTGACGTAACCCGTCGGCACGCTCAGGGATACATAGCACTGCAGAGCGCTAACTGTTGGCTGGAAAAGAAGGTTTGTTTTTGTATCCGGAGGATTTCCAGCTTTGGCTTATCCTGTGTAAGGAGGCTTACGTACATGGAGCGTAAGAACTTATTAAGATAAAGAGCCAATTCAGTTCCCCTTGTTTCGCCTGCGATAATGTTTAAAGTACGAGAACGAGTGTCCAGTGGGCGAACCGTAGAAATTAAAATTCTTTCAGGTGCGAGGTTAAGGCCTATTACCACCTCAATTCAATTCAGGTTTCACACGAAGCTGATGAGATAATACGGTAACGGAACCGTTTTAAATCAGGTAATTAAGTTAAATCTTTTTATATTTGTCTATGTGAGAGGTTATTGACGCCATATATAGAACTGGACAGCCTAAAACTAAACTTCTAGAAAGTAAACAACACAAAGAATATAATTACAGTTCACGTCGTACAGAGGGTGATTTCGCAATATGCTTCCACTCTACTCATAAATTTATTATAATCTCCGCTGCATTGACTTTATTTTAATATTTGCTCCATCTGAAAGCCCTTCTTCTCTGCCATCAACTCCACACGATAACGCCAGAAAAGAAGTATTTGACGGCTCAGGGTAATTGAAATACTAGACAAAGATCGGCGCGCGACTGTTAACAAACCGCGAAGCGACGCTGCATACTTGCGATACAAAATTCTTTTAAAAATCCCATTCGTTCCAAAATCCATTGATGTTTAGTCCGGTGGGTTGCTCGGCCACAAGCCCTTCGGAATGTTTCGGATGCCGCGAAGCTAGCCGCTGGCAGGTTTCTTTGGAAGTATGTGCGGGAGAGAGTCCTGATGCAGTACTACCTTCCTTTCTTCACCTGGATAGACACGGGGGAAGTCTGCTTGCACCAATGGCTCTAACACGTTTTGTATGTAGAGATCGGCGGTTATTTTAGGAGTGGGAGGAATGAACCGGATCACTGTTAGGCCACGATAAAAAATTCCGGCGATAAACATAACACCTAGTGGTTTTTTAACTTTGCAAAATTTTATCAAATTTTCGGGATTTTTGGATCCTTTAAACTAGTAGCAGATCTTTCTTCGCTTGCCCGTATAATCAAGATAGACTCATGCTTCGTCGATTAAAATGATGTGCAGTAAATTTCGCTGGTTCAGAAATTTGGCAAATCGGGGACTACGAGAAACACGCTGTTTTGCCTGCTTATTGGATAGGGGATGTACTTTGACTCTTTTACGTACTTTAGCTTCAATATCCTGAAGAACAATCTTCGATATCATGTACTAGGATGTCCTAAATTTCCTTGCCAACTGACTCTGAGGCGGTGGATTCGGTGTTGAGATAACCCTCTTGACTTCGGCGATGAGGGACTTTGTGGGAACTTTGGGTAGGCACTGAGTTTCTCGGCGTTTTACAGGCGAAACATTCCCTTCACTCTCGGGCCCATAAAGTTTCAAGATCTTATTCACTGTAGTATGAGAAATAGCGATCCCTTTGCTCATCAAACACTCGGCGATTTTTTTGTGGCTTTTACAATTTGTTGATAGCGCCGGCACACGGTACCTTGTTTTTAAATCGGTTTTTCGTGCCATGTTTATCGCTCGAACTAAACAAATTATATTGAACAATTAGGCACACTTTATCCCACAAGACTAGTTGCCAAACAGATTAAAAGAATAGAAAGGGAAATTTTCGGGAATATTTTCCCGTGCTGGAAGCATATTGCGAAATCACCCTCTGTACCTACCAAAGCTGCCGAAACTTACGAGTGCCAAAACGGCGACCGATCGCATTTTTCCGTAACTCATTCAGCATGATGCTAAACACATTTGTGAATCTATAAACAAAACAATTGCGAAAAACCGCCTTTGAAAATTTGCTTGCCTTCAATTATTATTTTTTGTGGGTCGTGGTTAAGAAATATGGATGTCAGTATATATTCTTTGCCATCTGCTGTGATTCGGTGTTTAACTCGTTACGGCAATTCAACTTCTCCATGTTTAAGCACTGCGAAGGCCAACAGGCTAATCTTACCTGCCTCTACGCACTTTGCAGGAGGTAACGAGCTTATTCGTCTGATACGGTGAGCGCTTACTGTTTTATGGAATATTTTCTATTCATACGTTAACAGACGGCAGCCTTTCTCGGATGCAACGCTGCGCTATATGAGGAGAATTCATGCTACGCAAGCGTCAAGCGTGCAAACCTGAAGTATCATTCAACGGCTACTGTACCCGGCTTTATTGTAGAGTCTGGACGTTGAGTCGGTTGTCATGAGGCGCAAAGGCATTCTGTCAATGTTTCTTCGAGGCCCTCGGCAAAATTTGAATATTGTGGGAAGAAAATCTTGAGCACATCTTGAGGATATGACATAAATTTAAAAATCTGTGTATCGAGCCATCAGGTGATAAGCTTTCTGTAGATTATTCGAATTGTCATCATCTCAGTAATAATAATGAAGTTAATGTAATAATGATGTAATAATGTTAAGTTAATGTAATCATAGTGAAGTTATTGTATTCCTGCAACGGGGCAGCACCCCGTTACAGCGGTGAACAAAAAGAAGGCACGGTGGAAAACAATGATAACTGAGGTGGTTGACAAAATGATAACAGCGACAACATCCAGACAGAAAGAACACTGTGTCAACCGAACGAAAGCATCTAGTATCGTCAGCTTTTTTTAGCAGTAGACGTTTATCAGTTATTTCTGTCTCGCATAATATCAAGAAAATTACTATCTTCCAGTCTTGGAAAGCTGGTACTCTCAGGCGCTTTTTATTGTTTATGGCAAAGGTATCGGCATGGACGTCATGGAACTGGAAGCGGATGTAGCTGCATACTGCAACATTACACAAAAGGAAGCAGCACTATTCTGGGTGCACGGCAAAACGATCGCAGAATAAATGAATGTTACACAGCGTGCAGTGCTTACGTCACGTAATGGATCCAGTTGAACACAACACATCCCCTTACGACAATGTGGAGCATTCTGTAGTGTTCTCACTCCACCCGCGCTTATTATTGTGTCCTATAATATTATTAGATCGCCTTTCGCCGTATCCACAAACAAAGGAACAAACCAATGTCCGCGTTGAAATGGGACCAGCAAGTACTCACTGTAGCTGGAAGTCACGGTACCAAGAAATTTCTGGAGCATATCAGCATCCTCAAGCTGGTTATATGGTTATTGATGTACGCATTCGACGTTTACTTCCACAACCTGTCAAGTAGTGTAGCTTGCAACAGACATACAACGCTATTCTGTATATTACTTTATTATATCACGACTGTTGTTTCAACTATCAAGGATAATGTCTTCGACAAACATTACGTCCCTTAACGTCTCTACGCGGCCCGCCGCACTGTCGGTGTCGATGGTTGTTTTAGATAGAACGTCGGTGATCGTATGGTTCACGGTCACTTTACTAATCTGTATTGCCGGGACCTTGAGTTCCGGCTGCTTGATCACCGCGTTCTGCGTCCAGAAGCATATGCGCCGTGCATCGACCTTCTTGATCGGCTATCTGCTCTGCTTGGATCTGCTTAACACCGCGATATTCATGCCGATGTCGTTCGTTGTTTTGCTGATGTCGCAGCTGGGTCGGCAGTTTCAGGCGGATGACGTCTGTGAAGTGTCCATCTTTTTTCTAGTGATGCTTAATTGTACTTCCAACTGGGCGGGAGCGTTCGTGGCGGTTAGCCGTTTCGTCGCCATATTTATTCCGCATAAGTATGTCGTATGCCATTCTGAGTCCTGAGTCTATGATTATTTAATTTCGCGCAAAGGAGAACTTCACACTATTTATTGATTTTATTAAATTTTCAAGCCTGAGAGAGATATACTGAATTCCTTCTGTTTTAGCCTTACATTGGTCGGCGTAATTAATTTATGCTTTAAGAAAGCATTGAAAATTAAAACCTTGCACTGCCGTTAACTAAAGTGCTCTTGCAGTGTGGATTTCACGTCCATTAAAGCACGCAAATAATTGTTAATTTCTTTAAGATACGAACAGTGGATGAAGCGGAAGTCCCTCGTGGTAATGGTGGCCATCAGCTGTGCTTTTGGGCTACTCGTGTCCGTCCCTCCGCTACGGAACCAGGGCGGATACTTTGGGCGCTTCTATCCGTTGGGTAATTGCGCTATGGGCACCAAGGAAGGTCCCTTGGCCAGTATGTTCGTCGCTATCGGCAGCACTATACCAACAGTGATCCAGGGGATATTCTACGCCGCTCTGGTGGTGCAGATGGCATTCAGTCAGCGTATACGTAAATCACCGGTCATATCGACCGATGCCGCCCTGACGCGTACCGACAACGTTCAACAGCGGCGTCGCACGGTGGGGCGCATGCTAATTGTGTCGTATCTGTGGTATCTGGTGTGTTTCATCCCAGTGCCAGTTATCCTCACATATTACCCGGCAGTATTCAGGATACCCACGGCGTTCATCTGGCTGAAGACGGTGCAGCTCTGTGGATTTGCCGGAACACCGGTACGAAAGGCATAGCAGTGTGTGATGCAGTAGGGTGCCCTTCCGCATGGCGTACGGAAAATTAGTAACACCCTAAATCAAGAAAAGGCTATAGGCTAAGCAGACAAACCGTCAACTATCAAACAGACCTAGGTCTGGTCACAAGACCAGCATCAGAGTAAAAAAACTGTTCCTTGTTCACGACTACGACAGCCAAGCCTTAACAAGTCTGGCCAGTAATTAGACAAATACCCGGATATACAATATTTTTCTGAAAGCAGTAAACACATGCCGCATACGCAAAAACCCACAAAATACTCAGTACATCTTCAATTTGCAGTTTATATTCCTTCTTCTGAGTGCAGAATACCGGGACGCTGTTCGATGTCTCTTCTACGGCCAACCGGGCCTCGTGCAACCCTCCAGTCAGAACCTGCCGTCCGGACAACAGTTGGCTCTGCGCACACGAACCGCAACACTTACACAATAATGCAAGATACTTATCGTTTTTCTATCTTTTAATTTACTTTTATGCTGGATTACTTTACTTTCATACTTCAAACCTAAATCATTACTTAGGTAAGGTTATACACGTACCATGGAAAACAGTGGTTTTCATACAGTTAACGCCATTTCCCATTGATTTTGAGGAAACGCATCTCACTAATTTCAGACTAATTTTTCAGCGGCTTGCAAACAGCACACTTCTTATTTGGATTTTTGTACAAATTTGTTGCGTATCCTTTTTCTTTCCTTTTGCTTGGAGGGCAATTGCCGAATTTATTGCATTATGAAACTGTAAAATTTCAAAATAGTTGTATAATGTTGTATTTAAGCTTAATACAACATTATCATTTTATGTACAGATATTTAAGCTGGTGATTTTTCCGAAGAAAGAATACCGTAATCAAATGGGAGTTGGTAATGACATACGAGACATCGATCACTCCAGTTCTTAAAAATCACATTTTACAACAGAGGAAAATAATAGAAAACGAAAGATATGTGGATACTACAGTAATCAATGAACGCCCTTTATGCGCTTTTCAAAATTTTGCTTTTTTGGTTGGCTTCTTTTTGCATTATATACTGCCCAGTGAGCGCCAACTAAGGGAAAGAGTGTACGTATACAGACAGATCATACGAGAACCGTAGGTGTGCGATTGCAAGCGTTGCCAATAGTTTACCGGAAGTGCTCGGCTGACTTCTAAAATGTAGCCGCACACTGCGGTTTTTACATTCAATAAACTCGATCCGTTGACTGTCACCGAATCACCGACAACCTGCGTAAAATTCTGAGGGGAGTGTGGTTTTCCACGAATCGGAGAATCGATGTTGCTATAAATGGCGCTGGAAACGCAAGTACCGGCACAACCGATTGTGTTCAAGATAAGTAATAACAACAGAGAAAACTGTCTGCAAGCTCATTTTCTGAACAAAGTTTTCGGAAATTAATTACTTGAAAAGGTAGCGCGTCATTGTATGTACAGCAGTGAAATACAGGAAATTTCAATTTGGGCGCTATGTGTCGGTATTCTTTCTATGCTCTGCTTTCCTATCGTGAGCATAAATTCAGTATAATCCTTTAGAAAATCCCGAAACGCGCACGGTAACGCAGTGGCTGCATGAGATGATCTGGAAGATTAATTTCCGGTTAGCCTGCCATTTCGTGACGAGAATTTCTACGAATTTCAGCGGATCCCCTTTAATACACGACTGCACGCTGGATCAACGTATTAACAATGCGTAGCTCAAGCACAATTACAATCCACTTACAACTCGTTCACAAAGCGTCGATCATAGTGCAAATCGCAAGTGTTCGTATCATTCTTTGTTGTGAAAGCAATTATTTTCTTTAATTATTTGTTGTGTCTGCTGTGTCTGCTTTTTAACCTCCACTGAAAAAGAACTTTTGTACACAAAGAGAAAAAACGCTAGCAAGAGGAAATTTACGTAACATGTGGAACACTACGCTCAAGATCAATACAACGATTAACCACCAGGATTCGCTTCAAATCATCGTCAACTACGTTTCGATTGCCGTGACTCCGCTAGAAATTGCCTACGTGCTGTTAATTCTCATGGTATTCCTCACGCATAAACAGCTTATCACGCCATTTAATATATATTTAATCAACATTCTCTTGGTATACGTGATGACCTTTCTGCTAAAATTGGTCAGTCTATTCAACCTCATAATCAGCGGCCAAACAACAGCAAATGGACGGTTCTGGTGCGGCTGGGATATCTCGAACAAACAGGTCAGCGACCCGATGTGCATCGACATGCAGTATCTGCTGGCACTGACCCGAGTGTGGGCCGTGACCTTTCCGATTCTTACCGTGTTCATCACACAAAGCGTTTGGCGGTAATCTTGTCCGTTATCATCCATTTGTTGTTGTTAGCAACGCGAGGGCCGCATTTTATTCTCGCCATTGTGGAACATGCAGGAGAAAATGGGAAACCGTGTGCGATTCCACGCTACCGCATTCTTAAGGGTTGTAAGTTTCTTTACGTCAGCTGGTCTGGTGTTCGTGTTCGCAGCGGCGCCGTACGTGTTGATTATGCGACGCATCAAACGCTCAGAAGCCGCCAGAGCCAGGCCTGGTAAGAGGGACAGCAATGCATAAAATGTGTAATCTAAAACCTCAGTATCAGAATAAAACGGGTAATACTAATTAATGTTACTGGTACTGGTAGTGTTACTGTTAGTGGTACAATATAATGGTACTGGCACTGGTACTGGTAGTAAAAATGATACTGTTACTGGTAGTGGTACTGGTTGTGGTAGTGGCATCACGTAATGGTACTGGTACTGTTATTGGTACTGTGAAAAATAAATTTTATTAGGATATGTCGTTAAATTTTGGAGAACAACTTCATATAACATCGTTGCCGTATAGCACCCGTTGACCTTTTACAAATTTCGGTTAAACAATTTTGAAAAGTTTTTAATGTTTTAGTGCAGTTCTTATGTTTTAATGTGCCACTTTTGTCACCTGACATGTACACAATCATTTATGAACTGTAAGTCAGCTTCAGCGAAATGTAATTATCGCGCAAAGGGGCAAATACAGTATATCTGCAAAAACATCCGGAAAATAAAAAATTGTTTGCCCGATCACAATATGACATTACAAAATTATAAGCACTAAGAATTCTTCGCAGTTCAGTTAAATCTAAATTGCTGGGATTTTTGGAGCTGCTCGTTCACAACCACCACTGCTGATTAGTTCGCCATTCCATCGTACGAGTATAATTATTTCAAGACATGGACGGGGACAGACTTCTTGATATCTTGTCTGATGATGACGACATCACCGCTTACTTCAAATCTTATAGTGACATTGCTTTGGCGTTATACCAATCATTTCAGCAACCAACCATTTTGGTGTTATTATTGCATTTAATGTTACTGCATTCAAATATCTGTCATCAGGCCTGTAACTCTTGTTGTCTCTTGAAAGTAAAAGCACTTCAGTCGCTTTCTAACTGACCTATGAGCTGCCGCTTCGAATAGAGTTGTTAGTAATTTTTTTAACGCACCTCGCATTTGCTTAGGAAAATGTTATGGTCTTATAATACTTCTCTACGGTCTGGCATTTTGATGAGATGACCACTTAAGAAATATTTCCCGGAGAAAGATTATCTTAATGGTTTAGTCAAACGGTTCTCTTAGAGCACAGTAAACGAATGCACATCACCTAGAAAACCAAAAACAGTTCATCAAGGGAGCGACTGTACTCAACCGTACCAAGAACACAGGCAGCATTGCCCCGCTGAATTTCTAAATTGCAACGCTGCAATAAAAACTGTTTCGCACGGATTTCTCCAGTCTGCTCCCGAATACGTTTGGCCAGGTCCGAAATAAAACCTTGAGTACTCGGGCCACAACCTCCAAAGTTTCGAAAGCCAAAGGCTGGACAATGTACCGATCTATCAACTTCTCATACTTTCCCAGTTTTCGAATCTCAGCGGCTTCCGCGGCTGCGCCAGGGTGATCAGAAGTTTGACCGATATAGGTTGCCGCAAGCGTGTCAGCTACAGTGACATCCCACACTAAAGGTTTTCCATATTGCCAAGGATACAAAGTCATGCCATCCGGCCGCTTTCCAGTTTCCCTATCAAGACCAGGAGGTTCCAAGATGGCGGATATTTTAGCTGATCCGAAAGCCCGCTGAATTATATTGTTAAGCGCGCTATGGCGCCGCAGCCGTCCTGCACTTTTCTTACAGGAAAGACCATGATGACCGTATCTATCCACCATTTACCACAGCGGCATTTGTACTCATTACAAATAAAATCACCCAAACGCAAAGCCACAACCACTCGTAAACTCACGTCATCCAGGAGATTTCCCAAGTTGGACACAGGCAGCGCCGACAACCATGCAAATGACTCTTTCGTAGACAAGGCCAACAAGCGAGCTTTAGCAATAACGTGGGCATTTTCCACTAAGAGACTGTGCAACTTGCCGTACATCAAACCGGTCCAAGCTGACTGCAAACGGCGGCTCTGCAGAGGCGGTGGGTCTTCTCCAATTTTTTCTTGATAAACCTTGACAGCATCCTCTCGAGAGTTTTGATCTGCGTCAGGTATAATCTCATTGACCAGAGAATCTGTAGCGTAACACGAAGACAGATATGCAGGCAAAGCTATATCTTCTGCCGTGCTAAGGCCGATTCCCCCATAGCGATCAGGCAAAATCGCTTGCCGCCACACAGGTTCGGACATTTCCACATTTGTTATTTCCTCTGCTCTTTTTCTGACAGTATCATCGAACTGGCGTAGTTTTTCTGGACACTTCCAACATGGGGCGCACCAAAGAGTAAACAACAATCTCGGCAGCGATAGACTGTTTTTCAAAAGGAACAATGACTGATGCGCTGGCAACACACCAAGCAGATCAGCCAGACGCCGTATCTGACCGATCTTTCCATCTAACACTCGCCCTATTGACAAATCCGTAAGTGGGGCACCAAGCAAGTCCAACTGCTCCGTTGAGACGAGCTGTATCTCCGGTGCAACAGAATGGA